ATTCCAATAGAACCCAGCCCGACCCCCAAACTCCACTTTTTGACGACACATAACTATGTTGTAGTAAAAATTCTATCTTAACTTTATGATGGTATGAAAAAACAAGTAATATAGAAGAGGTTAGGTTAGGAAAGATAAAGGTTAACATAGGAAAAATGAAGGTTACCTAAGAAACTAAAAGTTAGGTGGAACACTTACGGTAGTAGAAGAGATGGGTCGGCATACGGGGATGGAGGCTGGTTCCGAGGCAGAGGGCAGATTACTGGCCCTCAGGTGAATCACCATTACTAGGTGAATCAACATCACTGTCACTTACAGTTGTCAGGGCTTCCCTGACAAATCCCTCAAAGTCAACTTCACTTTCACTATCACTGGCTTGGGCTGGCTGTGGTGGGTTGCGGGCGAAGAACTCGGTTATGCTTTGCTGACAGCTGGTGTTGATGTTGTCGTGATACACCTTGATGTACGGCTCCATAGCCTGCACCAGTCGGGTATGGAAGACTTCATAGCGTTCATCGTCATTGTCGCGGGAAAGGACGGACTTAATTTTTTCTGTAAACTCTATGACACACTTAATATCACTATGACTTAAACTAGGTTCTTCGGAGAATGACGCACCTTCTTCCTCCTCTTCACTGGCGTGTTCTTCTTCCAAAATCTTGTCGGCAGTCACTTCAGGATCTTTGATCACCTCCAGGATGTCTTCGTTGGTGGTCTCGGAGAAGCCTTCAGCTGTAATATTGAGCGCAGCTTCTCTGGCAAGGTCCACTGCTACTGCAACAGTCTGAACCTGACCAGTCACAGGTTCACTCCTCCTCTCACCTGGTATGCCATGCAACACATGTCTCCATGCGTGACGAATCGTAGCAAAAGTCAGCAGATCCCATGCCTCCACCAAGAAGTCTACAGCTTGTTTAACGTTAAACTTCTTCCAAAATTGTTTGACGAGAAGTTCTTGAGTCGCCGCCACTTGTTCCTTGTCCTCGTCGCTTTTGCTCTCGCTGTCGGTGTCACCCAGCTTACGCAACTCATCCTTGGTGTTGGTAGAGTCGTTCAGGAGCTTGAACTTCTTTGCAGAGTACGCAGCTTTCACATTGCAGATCAACTCCTGGTCCATGGGCTGGATTAATGACGTAGTGTTGGGAGGAAGGAAGACCACTTTTACGTTGGGGTGACGATCCATAAGTAGGGGCGAGTGTCCAGGTGCGTTGTCAAGGAGCAACAAAATATTGAATGGAACATTCTGTTGCTCGCAGAATTTCTTCACGTTGGGAACAAAACAGTTGTCAAACCAGAAGAGGGACAGAGAAGAGGACATCCACGCCTTACATGCGGTTAGCCAGTGGACATTAAGCTTGTTCATGTCCATATTCTTGTAGGCGTGCGGCTTGCGGGCTGTGTGAATCACCGATAACTTTGGTTTACAGGTACCGGAGGCATTGGTGGTAAACAGGGCGGTGATGCGTTCCTTCTGCAACTTCCGACCCCTTACCTTGCTGGCAGACTGGACAACGAAGGTCTTGGAAGGTAACTTTTTCCAGAAAAGACCAGATTCGTCCATGTTAAACACCTGGTCGTCGGTGTACTGTCCTTCCTCCATAATCTCACGTAAAAACGGAGGAAAATCTCTAGCCGCCACACGGTCAGCACTCGCTTCCTCACCACCAATGTTGATGTTGGTGATCTTGTTCCTCTTCTTAAACCTATGCAGCCAACCAGAGGAAGCATTGAAGGGTTTGGGCTCTGCAATTCCCAGTTTACGTGTCACTGCTGCGTATAGCTCACGTGCGTACTCTTGCACTGAGCACGTGTCCACCGCCATGTTGCGTCGCGCCTGACGCACCAAATAACTCACCAGCAAATTTTCCACTTTTGCCAGCACCCTGTTCTGGCAATACCTGATAGATGAAGCACCTGCAGACTTTGTGATTTTCATGTGCTCTTTGATCTTGGCTGCATCCTTCTTGATCGTACGAATCGTAGATTCGTTGACGCCATGATGGCGCGCGAGATCAACTTGCCGTCTTCCTTTCTCCAAATCTTGAACAATTTGGTACTTCACCTCGTAGCTTAATGAACGTCGTGTCTTCTTTGGCTTAGTGCCGCTGGGTCCAGGTAAGGAAAGGTCTCTCTCTGGGGGCGGTGGTGGTCCGGCGGAAGCCATTTTACGGAACAATGGATGCGCGTTAACCCGGGGTGGCCTTGAGGGATGAAACTGCCGCGGCTAGGTCAAGCGTCGTCTCTCCTCCCTCCCTCCCTCCCCGGGGTGGTCACGTCATAATACTTTAAGCCAATTACAGCTAGCAGCAGAGGGGGGTAGGGATGCATGGCCAATCACAGTCCGATACGTCATATGACGTCAGTGATAACGCAACAAAGACACACACTGCGCAACCTTACCGCGCCGCTTGCCCAAGCGGAGGGAGGAGGAGGGAGAGGCAGGCAGGCGGGCGGGCAGGCGGGTGGCGCGTGGCGCGTGGGCAAAATCTAAAAATAGCGTCTCGAGCCGGACACTCACCGCGTATATGATGAAAAATTCCGTGTTAAGTGAAAGTTCAGCTCTGGCGAGGCACGCTGTCTATGCAGCAGCGTGAAACTTAGGCAGAATATATATATATATATATATATATATATATATATATATATATATATATATATATATATATATATATATATATTTTTTTTTTCTTTTTTTTTTCTGGTTTTACGCGGTTAATTAAACCCATGGAGGTCCGCGTATAAAGTGAAGCACGTAAATAAAGTAACAAAACATATGGGATTAATTGAAATAGAGACTGGGCCGACCTCCAGTCTACCCTTTTTTTGAATATCGCTGACACAATACGTACATTGTAGTCAAAATAACATCTTAATTTTATGATGGTATGCACACACAATTAATATATAAGAGAAATATCAATAATATTAGGTTTTTTAACACTTACTTTAGTAGAAGAGATGGCTGGGCACACGGGGATGGGGGTTGGTTCCGAGGCAGAGGGCAGATTATTGGCCCTCGCCTGTATCTCTATCCACCACAGAGGATAATCTTGACCTTTTTGTGTCATTTAAAACCTTGCAGCCACCCAGCGGAAGCACTGAAGGGCTTGGGCTCTGCAACCCCCATTTTTCTTGCTACTGTTGCATAGAGTTCTCGGGCGTAGTCCTGCAGTGCCCGAGTGTCGACCACCATGTTCCTTCTTGACTGCCGAATAATGTAGCTTACCAACAAACTCTCGGTCTTCAGCAGCACCTTATTGTGGCAATATTTCACTAGCGAGGGACCTACAGACTTGGTAATGTTCATGTGTTCATTGATTTTGCCGGCATATTGTCTGGCCAGATCCACCTACCTTGTGCCTTTTTCTAAATCCTGAACGATCTTGTACTCAACCTCATAGCTTAAGGCGCGTCGCACCTTCTTGGCCTTGGGGCGGCTTGGGCCAGGTAGTTCAGGGCTTCTCAGGGGTGGTGGGGGTCCAGCGGAAGCCATTGTGTAGAAAGAAAAAACGAAACCAGTTCCTGGGCACGAGTGAATGTACGCGGGGACAGTGAGACTGGAGCGGCGATGGTCGAGAGCGCGGGTGATGGGGTGGCAAGGTTAATAGACCAATCACAGTGCGTGGCGGAGGGGGTGCGTGGGTGGTAAGTATATGTGGCCCAATCACAGTCCGTGATGTCATTGGTGCGAGTCTGACGTCAGCGGTGACGTCAGCGTCCAGCACCTTGCCCCGCCGCTTGCCGCTTATATGATGGCATTTACCGCGTAAAGAATAATTATCACTTCTGAACAGGTGCCGCGTAAATGGCCATTCGCATATAAAATATCCGTGTAAACCCAGACTATACTGTGTGTGTGTGTGTGTGTATATATATATATACAGTGGGGTATGCTATAACGAATCTAATTGGTTCTAGAACCTCGTTCGTTATAGCATTCGTTCGTTATGGGATTAATCCGTTCCAGGCCCTCAAATACAACCACTTAACACTGAAAAAATTTTGTGGAAATTGTAAAAAATACGGTACTTTATCTTACCTTAGTGTTGTTAGCATGCAGGACAGGAGGCAGAGGAGGAGGGGGGAGGAGAGAATTATGGAGAAGAGATGGAAGGAGAGGAGTCATCCTTCCTAGCCCTCTTTGGTGACTGTCTTACAGGCACTTTGTCTGTTTCTTTACTATTTTTTTCTTAGTTTTAAGGGTTATTAGCTTTCTCACTCACTTTTGACGATTCATTGTTACAATTGTACACTTGTATAACAAAATAGTTATAAAATAACACGAATTTCCACATCAAAAGACGAAATTTCAACAAGTTCAGTGGTGCACTGACTACACAATGAACCAATATGGCGCCTGACGCTCTTGTTGTGAGCCGCGGTACAACAATATTCATGCGCCAGACGAAATAGTCCTGTATTCATCCGCGTTCGTTGTAGGAGTTGCGTTCGTTATAGCATTCTCAATTTTATAGGTAAAACCATTCGTTATAGGAATATTCGTACTAGAATCCGTTCGTTATAGCATACCCCACTGTATATATATATATATATATATATATATATATATATATATATATATATATATATATATATATATATATATATATATATATATATATATATATATATATATATATATATATACTGTACATATATACATATATACATACATACATACATACATACATATATACACCTTTTTTATGGCTCATTAATGGAATCTTAGGCTTGTCTTCAGATATTGATGGACATGTCCTAATTTATATTTTCAAAGTTATTTTTCCTCTTCTTAAAGCTAATGTCTGTTTGGATTCAATTGCAGTGTATTTTTAAGTATGAGACAAACTTTCACTCGGGCAGTTAATATTTCTTCGTACATTATTATTATTATTTAATTTTTTTTGCAGACAGTTTCTTGTTATATGAGTTTTAAGAAATACAGTTAAAGATAGTTGATACTTTTGAATATTGTTATTTAAATACCTTATGTGTTTCAGGTTCCTCAAACGTAGCAGTACCAACCTCACCTAACCTAGCTCCCAACCTCTCCAATGCCCCATATACACAAGCTGTTTGTTCATCTCCATCCCCAATTCTCTCTTCATCTTTGTCTACTCTGTCTTGCACTGAACCTTCATCACCACTACTGCCTCCCCTTTCTCCTCCCCCTCAGTCCTCAAAAATAAGTACAGACGATGGAGGAATTGCGTCATCATCAACATCTCCTTTAGCCTCATCTTCACTTGCTTTCAGCTTTGTAACGAGCTCCTCTGTAGCAGCAGCAGCAACCACCTCATCATCATCGCTCTCTGCTTCATCACTTTCACCCTCTGCCTCCACCTCACATTCACCACCGCCATTGCCATCATCATCACCGCCACCACTGTCCTCAGCTTCAGCTATTTTAACACTTCCAATGGATTCCACTCCTCTGACCAGTATAGCTCCTGGCTTAACCCCCTCCAAATCCCACTTGGCTTCAGTCAACCTTCATTATTGTTCTCCACCATCTACTTCTCCATCTGGTCCACCACCTCCTCTACCTCTTAGTGACCCTCCCATTCTGCTTACCCCGATGGATGGTGAGGAACTGGAGCCTCCTCATTCACCTCTGGATGTATCAACACCTCTCACTGTGGATGGGATGACTGCTTTACATCTTGCAGCGCAGGGGAACAACTGGCAGTAAGTCTTCATTCTACTTGACTGGTGTTGGAGCCTTATAAAACACACACACACACACACACACACACACACACATACACACATACATACATACATATACACACACACACACACACACACACACACACACACACACACACACACACACACACACACACACACACACACACACACACACACCACACTACTGTTCATAAAAGGAACAATAATTATCCCATGGATTGGGAAAACCGTATAGAAGTGTATAAATCAACATGTGTCACAGAAAGACTTCTGGTTGAAACAATTTTGATTAGGGAAATGAATTCTATAAACCTTAGTGATGGTCAATACAAAACTGATAATATGTTACATAAATTTACCTGTCAGTGGCCCAAGGTTAAGAATGTTTTGAAAGCATTTGAGTTAGATGTTGGATAAATGATGAGTGGGTCTCATATTTCTGACCTGACTTGACATGACTTGTTACATCACCCATTTTCATATGCGGTGGAGTGTGGATTAGTGGATCCCATGTTATTGGCCTGACTTGATGTTTTGTAAGGTCACCCTTTATATATAAGCCTTTCGGAGTCCCTGTAAATTCAGTTGCCTCTGATGATTTCTTGAATAAAGGCGTAAGCTAGGGTTCTCCATTGTTCCCTTTTCCTGTGTGGTTTTATTAAGATTTTTCTTGTCCACGTTTCCATTGTGGATCTACATAAAATACACAGAAGTGAGTATGTACACATTCTTACAAGTACATATGCAAATTTTATGCATTGTATGCTTTAAAATAAACTGTCTTGTGTGCCCTGGCCAGAATAACAGCATTGTCATATTTAGTATATTCCTTATGTACTTTTATGTATGTTTGGCATTGACTAATGTAAGTAAACTGTGAGCCTCTTACTGTCATTAAAAATTATGTTGCTCCCCCCTCAAAAATGATGTGCAAATATCTTTTCTTAAAATTAAACACACAGACACATATATATGTATTGTATATATATATTTATATATATATATAATATATATATATATATATATATATATATATATATATATATATATATATATATATATATATATATATATATATATATATATATATATATATATATACATATATACATATATACACACAGTAGTACCCCGCTTAACGCGGTCAATAAAACCCACAGGGTACCGTGTTAAGTGAAAACCGCGCTAAGTGAACAACAGAACATATGGGATTAATTCCAATAGAAACTGGCCCGATCCCCAAACTCCACTTTTTCCGACACAATACCTATGTTCTAGTAAAAATAACATCTTAATTTTATGATGGTACATGCACACAATTAATACTTAAGAGAAATAGAGAAATACAGTCGCCAAGTTAATGTCCATTCAAATAATGGACTCGACTCCCTCCCCCTCTTCTCACACTACACTGCTGGCTCTTCCCTCTCTGAGAAATTTTGGGGGAAAACCACTAAATTTTGATAAACAATACCTCAAACTAAAGTTAGGATAATACATTTGACATTGCTGGATTCCTTGTAAGACCAGGAATATTTTGAATATAAATGTCATATATTTTGCACAAAAGATAACATATTTACTCAGAGTAAACATTATATCTAAAATTTGTATGTCTAATGCAAAATCTATGATGTTTATATTCAAAATGATCACCAAATTGTAAGAATTCCAGCAATGTAAATTATATTCTGGCCGGGTAATTTGTATGAATTTTATGAGCTAAAACAAATATCTTCAGTTAATAAAAAAAAAAATATTCTTCACAACACTATCTGTCAATCAAAGTACCCCACCTTGCCTCCCCCCTCTTCCAACCGCAGGGTCAGTCCCAACCCTCCCCCCCACCCCCCACCAATCCTCCCTTCAAGAGATGTTGGGTGAAAAAACTAAATTTTAACATTTAGTATTAAATAATACCTCAGATTAAAGTTAGGATAATATAATTGACATTGCTGGATTCCTTGTAAGACCAGGAATATTTTGAATATAAATGTCATATATTTTGCACAAAAGATAACATATTTACTCGAGTAAACATTACATCTAAAATTTGTATGTCTAATGCAAAATCTATGATGTTTATATTCAAAATGATCATCAAATTATAAGAATTCCAGCAATGTAAATTATATTCTGGCCGGGTAATTTGTATGAATTCTATGAGCTAAAACAGGCAGTCAGGCAGGGTGGCAGGTGGGGGATGGGGCGAATCTAAAAATAGCTCTCGAGCCGGACACTCACCGCGTATACGTGGAAAAAACCCGCGTTAAGTGAAAGTTCAGCTCTGGCGAGGCACCGCGTATACAGTAAAACGCGCTAAGCGAAACCGCATTAAGCGGGGTAATACTGTGTATATATATATATATATATATATATATATATATATATATATATATATATATATATATATATATATATATATATATATATATATATATATATATATATATATATATATATAATATATACGGTTTATTGAAAAAATTCTGCAGCCCGAAGGCTAAAAATATACATTGGACATAAATGACTTATTACATACATTGGTGGTTTAACAAAAGCCTTCATTAGAGAAAGGTAAAGGAACATACAGTGAACATACAGATTAATGTAGGTGTTGAACAGCAAACTCGTAGTGTATAGTAACTCCCTCCCAGATGGTGTTAGGAGGAACTCACGTGGTGTAGTAGTTCCCTCGGATGGTGTTATGAGGGACCTGGCGTGGTGTAGTAATTCCCTCGCAGATGGTGTTATGTGTGTGTGTGTGCATGTGCACATGCGCACACACATGTATACATACAGTCAACCTTCACTTTACGCGGCCCCACATTCCGCGTTTCCATGTTTACGCGGTGCCCTGCCGGAACCCAGGATGCTCACATTCCGCGGTGCGTGTACCCCTTTACGCGGGTGAAGTATAATTTTTTTATTTAGCTCATAAAATTCATACAAATTACCCGGCCAGAATATAATTTACATTGCTGGAATTCTTACTATTTGAAGATCATTTTGAATATAAACATCATAGATTTTGCATTAGACATACAAATTTTAGATCTAATGTTTACTCTGAGTAAATATGTTATCTTTTGTGCAAAATATATGACATTTATATTCAAAATATTCCTGGTCTTACAAGGAATCCAGCAATGTCAATTATATTATCCTAACTTTAGTCTGAGGTATTATTTATTACTAAAAAGGTAAATATTCTGGTTTTCCCACACATTTTCTGGTAGGGAGGGACCGACTGACCATCTGGCAGGTTTGAAGAATATTTTTTTTTTATTAACTGAAGATATTTGTTTTAGCTCATAAAATTCATACAAATTACCCGGCCAGAATATAATTTACATTGCTGGAATTCTTACAATTTGATGATCATTTTGAATATAAACATCATAGATTTTGCATTAGACATACAAATTTTAGATCTAATGTTTACTCTGAGTAAATATGTTATCTTTTGTGCAAAATATATGACATTTATATTCAAAATATTCCTGGTCTTACAAGGAATCCAGCAATGTCAATTATATTATCCTAACTTTAGTTTGAGGTATTATTTATTAAAATTTAGTGGTTTTCCCCCCAAAATTTCTCAGAGAGGGAAGAGCCAGCAGTGTAGTGTGAGAAGAGGGGGAGGGAGTTGAGTCCATTATTTGAATGGATATTAACTTGGCGACTGTATTAATCTATTTCTCTTATGTATTAATTGTGTGCATGTACCATCATAAAATTAAGATGTTATTTTTACTAGAACATAGGTATTGTGTCGGAAAAAGTGGAGTTTGGGGGTCAGCCGGTCTCTATTTCATTTAATCCCATATGTTATGTTGTTCACTTGACGTGTTTCTCACTTTCCGCGGTACCCTGTGGGTTATATTAACCTCGTAAAGTGAGGGTTGACTGTACATACATACAGCATTTTTGGGCGGTAGCAACTTCTTAAGGACTGAGCCCATTTTATCTTAGTGTGTAGATTACAGTGTAAAAGGTAATTGTATATGAAATGAGGGCCAGACTAAGTAGTTTTAGGACATTGGTACAGGGTCAGCGTTGTTGCCTCACTTGGGTATGTCACCACTTCCACCAATCAGAGGCTGAGACTGGCAGTACCCTATAACACGCAATGCTTGTAATAGAAGTCATCACATGGACCACCATAGTTTCATATGGCAATTTGAAATACTGTAACCTAGATTTCAAAACAATTGAGTCCAAAGGTGTTAGGGTTTGCTGTATTGGTATTGGAAGCTGTTCAGTTACTCTTTTCCTTTATGACCAGATAAGACTATTATTTTTAATACAGTTATTTGCTCAGCAATAGTGTGCCACTAATTTCTTGCCTTCATTCTTTCACTTAACTGATTTTCTTGGCTTCTCATCAGTGACTCCAAATCAAGGCCAGAAACCAGAGCCTTGCTATCACGTGAGTGGCTTTCCGTCTGTCTGCTGGTAGTGTTCATTTGTTTAATCCATCACATTATTGATTGTAACAAGCTTGAAATTTCACACCAGCCAAGATACTGTAGCTGTTGTTGCCCACTGACTGTGGTGCCCCTTAAAAAAAAATCCTGGCTACTGTTCTATGCTCTTTTTGTGTTCTTGTCATAGTTCCCTTTTCATGAATTTCCAAGGCATGTAGTAACTAATTGTAGTGCTTAGCAGTGTGGATAACTGTAGCGAAGTACGAGTACGTATTATTGGCTAGACGTATTTGTGAAGGGGTTTTATTACATGTCCGGTGGCCACCAGATTGGGAAGTACTAGTGTAATCTCCTTGAATAGTAATTACCGTATTTCCTGTTTTATTGTGGTCTCTCTTTAGGGATAGATGTCTGTGTACTGTGTCTGATATGGATTTAAAATTGATTCAGATCAAAGTTTGTTTTCATAATACGGTAATAGCAAATTCATTGTCTGCCATGAGAACAAAATCAGAACCCATCCATCATCAGAAGAAATAACAAAGAGGGAGATGCGTATTATCATCAGAACAAACACGAGCTATCCTTGTATTATGAAAATCTGTAAGTCATCATAAGTGCATTATCAGATCTCCTGTGTATGTGTGACATCCAGAGTAATTGGCTAGGAAAGCTTTTGCAAGATATTTTATGTATTTCTTATAATTAGCGTTTTAAGAATCACTTACCTTCTTTACAACTTTTGGATAAATTATGATAGACTGGATAATTATTGGGCCACACATAGATTACAGTGAACTGGATTCAGCTGTTTAGTGCTGAGTAAATTGGTTTAGACATTGTTTTCCCAACTACATACACACACTTCTTTCCTTCCATCTGGATTTGGTTAGGTCTTTCATGGCAGGCTGTTATTTGTTTGTCAGTCCATTTTGTCCTTTGCTTGTTACAAAATTAGCATTGGGTGTCTCATCAACCATTTAACATAGGATCAAGTAATTTGTTATATTGCTGTCTGCAGCATAACATGGTGCCCAGATTGGTGCTGTTTGGCTTCCTATCCTTAATAAGGTTTCCCACCAATTTCTTAGCTTTCATAAAGCAAGCTTTTGGAATACAGTATTGAATGTAGGTTTAGCTTTCTATAAAGGAGCATAGCTGAACTGCATTGCTTCTAGCAAAGTGAATTTGAAATATTAAATGTAGCTTTAGCATGACATGGTATACTGTACTGTACTCAAAAAATAAAGTTGAACTGGTTTAATTTTCAAAATCTAAAAAAAAAAATACTACTCTACTCTATTCATCCTGGAAGAATATTTTCATTGTCATGCATTTTTGAAGTGCTATATATTTAAACAAAAAATCAGTTTTAAAAATGTAAGCAAACAATCTCTAGTTTTCTCAGTGGTAAGAGTGTGTTTGGCTATGATTTAGATTTGATATTTAATGTGATAAGTTTTTATGGTTTGGGTTTGACATGATTGTATAATGTAGAGGAGGTATAATGTAGCATCCCTAGTAATGGCGTGAGGTGTGCCAGGTCGGTGCCGGTGCTTGTGAGATGCGGTGCCAGTGTTAATGCTGAGGATGATGATGGTTGCACGCCTACCTACCTGGCGCTGCTGTACGCCTGCACCCCAGCTGCTGCTGCCCTGCTTAGCTTTCCTCAGTCCCTAGAGCACACCACTAAGGTAGGTAGGATGCACAGTACTATGCTAATGTATTTGTGTTGATGTTGCAGTATTGTATACTGTACATTATTTCGTGCTTTATTTCATCTCCTTTATATATTTATACCTGTACCTTTGAGACAAAGTCAAAGAATGTAGTTACTATATTTAATTTTTGCTTCCAGTTTGGTGTTATCATTAAAGATTTGTTGATAATACTGTAAAAGCTATAGTAAAAGTTTATATATTGATCATTTAGATACAGTAAACCCCCAATATACTGTATATGGTATGTGTTCTGATAGTTGCTGTTTTTCAGCCACCAGCATTACTCAAGGACTGTAATCCTTTGAAAATAAGAGGATTACTTTCTGAGACCATAAAGTCCATGACAATGGTAACATGCCTACACCTTTTGTGAAATTACAGTCATTGTTCATGTCAAACACCACAGTTTTGCATATTAACAGGTGTTAAGTAAATGTATCGACAGTACTAGGGGGATGTTCACTGCTTGTCCCACAAATTTTTTCTTTTCAGTATTAGAAATTTGTTAGATAAGTTAAGAAAATTAAGTTGAAAAACAGAGTAAATATATATCATGTCGTATATGGTCAATAACATGGGCAAGGGCTGTCATTTGAACACTATGTTCCCTCTATGGTTTGGCCACAATCAGGTGAACTGTGACACACATCCACTGGACAGTATTTACTGAACTTGTTTTATCTCAGTCATAAAGTATCAAGGTGGATTGCTTGGTCAGATGTAACAAGTTAGGAACATCTATTGTTTTACATTTATGTAAGTAAAGGTATTTATGATTATCATTGTAATTTTTTGCTTATCTTTTAATTTTTAATTTTGAGTCGTATAAGTGTCTTCTGATATTAATGCATTTATTACCATGTGCCAATATAGTATAAACATGTATGACAACTGTAGTGCAGCATGTGTTCATTTGATATATAAACCATTTGGTAAAGTAGAGATTAATATTGATTATAGTTGTAAAATAGCAAAGGTTTCTTCTTCTAGGATGGTTGCAACTTCTTGCATGCTGCCATAAAATCGGGTGAAGTTGAATGCATTGAGGTTTTGGTGCAACATTTGTTAGCAATGGAAGATGGTCCCAACCTCCTACACCGACTTGCTGGTGGGCCAGACCATCGGGGCAACACGCCGCTGGCCCTGGCTATGTCTGCCACTAACTGTAACATGCTGGCTGCACTCTGTCACGCTGGGCTAGATCTCCCAGCTTTGCTCAGCCATAATGCTAGACTTCTCAGTCTTGCATCATCACCAGCTTTAGCCTTTGTCTCTAGCTCTAGTATGTATTATTACTGTTGTACCAGTATTATTAAGCAGAATCATATTTTACCTGAGAATTTTCAGCAGAGATATCCTTCATGGTGTTAAGGGGGGGGGGGAGCTTAGCGGGAGTTAACTTTTACAAAAACAAATTTAATTACTCAGATCAGATTGGGTTTAGGCCATAACACTGTAATAATAGGGGTCAAAGAGTAAGGGATGAGGTAGATAAGTTGATGGCGAGTCATGGCTTGTATAAATCAGAATACAGTAAGGATATGATGAAAGGCAGACAAATGTTAAAGTATTGTTAAAAGGTAGGGATGATGAGGCAAGGTTAGAATATAAATTTGTAAGTGAAAGTGTGGCAAGAGCCTTCAGAAGTTGTAGTTCACTTTACTCGCATGTATGTAAGTGAAACAAACATTACTTACTAGATTGACTGACTACAATCCATATTGTAGACAGGTGAAGTGAAATGGAGTCCCATCTCCTCTTGTGTGACCATATTATTATTCATTTATATTGTATAAGGTGCATTTAGAAACAGGAGAACAGGGTGAAAGAATAGTCTGTGAGGGAGTTTGTAAGCGAGAGGGTTATTATGTAGAGGAGTGTATTGAGCTATGGAAAGATAGGAATGCTTGGAGGGAATGGACGTGCTGCTCTGTGGGGTAATGAAAGATTATTTGATAAAATTAGATGAAGTAGGTTTAGTTGTATTATTTAATTTTCAAGTACGTGAGTTTTTTCTTTGCATTTCTACAGGCCGCAGTGAATGCACATGTTCAGTTTGGCTTGAAGGGCTAGACTTGAATAGGGTTGGTGATGGAAGTAAGAGGCATAATGGAGATGATGGATCAGACAAAGATGGTGGGGAGTGTGGTGAGCGCTGGGCCATTGGGGCTGTGCGTGTGACCTCTGCAACTCTATGGGGAGCCCTGGAAGAAACACTAACATCTCTTGCATTACACCACTGGGATGCTCTAGCAAGGTATTATGCATTCTTTATTTTTTTAGGAATTATATGGTTGAGAAGGGTAGTAATTGAGAGCTGTACACTCGCTCCAAAAAGTATCTTAAACGGCGAGACAATATGACATGACGGAAGAAGGATTTTGACAACCCTACCGAAGCAACATTAGTCATGGTGTTTATTTTGAAATTCATTAGACCCCACCTTGAAGTTACTTTTTGGAGTGAGTGTACAGGGATGGTGATGCATGAAGAAGGCAGTATTGAGTACCCTTCTTGCTTATAAATAGAATACAAATGGTAGTTTTTTAGAGTAAATATGAATTAAAAGAAGGCTGAAGGTAAGATTATATTTAGGAATATCATAATTGAGGATATTTGGAAATTTATGTGTGGTTATACCTGTAGGATTACATTGTAGAAAATGATAAAAAAGGGGAAGAGGTGGTTCACAAGTGGTGTCATGTAGAAGGTACCATACTAGAGGAAAGGATTGATACAGAAATTATATCAACAAATTGGGTAAATGGACTGCTGTTTGGGGTAAATTTGACTCTGAATCTTGAATGTATTTTTTTATAACTAGAGCATGAAGTCATAAGCTCTCAAGGGCTTTGAAAGCAAAATGTTACAGTAAAGCCCCCGTTACTTGGCATCCGATAAGTCGGATTTGCAGTAAGTCAGTACGGCACTGGATAACAGTTACTTTTCTGAGTACTGCGTACTGTGCTTGATATACTACATTCACGGAAATGTAATATTTTTGCTGAAATGACGTACGTATTACAGTGGAAAGTGACAAAAACAATGACTTTCGCTTTTTTTCGTTCAAATGATGTTACCGTAATCGCTTTTCGAATGGTTTTCAGTTAAAAAAACTGTTGCATCACAAGTGAATTAGGATAGAATATTATTGTAATACAACAGTTTTTTAACTGAAAACCATTCGAAAAGCGATTACGGTAACATCTTTTGAACGAAAGAAAGCGAGTCATTGCTTTCGTCACTTTCCACTGTAATACGTACGTCATTTCAGCAAAATATTACATTTCCATATTCTCAGAAATAAATAGTAGTTTTGCTGAAACGTAATGCATTTCAATGTAAATTAGGATAAACTACATGAAAACAAAAGACTTTACCTAACCTTCCGATGTTCAAGATATGTTACTCGTTTTTTTAGTAGTTTTCGGTTAAAATACTCTTATATTAGTGATATTCTATTCATACTGTGCTTGATATAATACATTCACGGAAATGTAATATTTTTGCAACTACAATGCTGATGTCAACACAAGCGTGGTTACAGCGAGACTGACTGAGTGAGGGAGAGCTATGCGTGTGTGTGTGTGTGAGGTTGCGGGAGCGGGCGGTGTCCCGTGTTCGGTGCCGCGCGCGAGTTGAATGGCGCGCGATTTGAATGTACTTCAATTACTTCAATGTACAGAATATTCCTCCGGCGGGGCAATCCGCGTATTTGCAAATCCGTGTATTATAAACCCGCGTATGTTAAGGGCCGACTGTACTGTATATTGTATACTGTACTGTATAGGTTCAATACCAATAAGTCGGCAAATTCAATTACTCAACAAGGTCTCCGGCCCATATGTGCTGAGTTATGGGTTTTACTGTATATTGGAAAATAGTGATAAGAATTAGAAAAGAAAAAAAAATACATACGGTTCTGTGAAAAATTAATTAAAAGGCTCAATGAATAAAATAAGATTGTGTGAACTTTTTTTTTTCTTGACAAATTGAGTTTTGAAAAGAGTGTACAATGCATTAAATTAATAAAGAAACAATTGTGAAATGTTACGTGATATTTGCTGGTGAATAATGGACATGCTAGCTTGCTACTACTAGAATAGACAATAAAATCCATGTAACTGATATTGAATTTAAAAAAATAATAATTTGAAGTAGAGAATGAATGGAAGTGAAGGAGATACAGGTAATCTTTATTGGGTTACAGAAATATATAAGAAATAGTTCATAAAGTTGAATGAGTACTTGTATATTATGTAATATGGATAGATTTCTCTTAATATAACTCAGTAATGTTTTTGGTAACATGTTCAGGGAAATATGAAGAGGTGTACTAAAACTGTGTCCTGTTAATTTTTCCTTATAGCACTCCATTTAGAAATGAAGGTATTTTGTAAAATTATATAATCAAAATGTAATAATTAAGTAATTTTTTCATTATACTGTATATTACTTTTAATGTATAGGAACCAAGGTGCAGGTGGGCCAAGCTTCAGCAGTTGTAGCCGTCATGGAGGCCAACCCCGTGGAGAGAGACGACGATCAGACCCTCTTCATGACATGGAGGTCAACACTTCATTCCTAGGCCTCAGCAAGTCTGCCATAAGTCATTTCTCCATTGGCCACCATAAATGGACACGGGTAAGTGCAGTAGTTCAGGGTTCGAGGGTAGTAAGCAAAGAATCACTCCAATCCTGATTGTCCCTCCCCCTCATATCTAGTGCATGCTTCACCCCATCCTAACATCTTCTTGGTTTTTTTTATCTCTATTCTACTGTTCACCTTGTTTATAAAATTTTAATATTCTTTCACTTTCCATTCTTTCAATATGTCCAAGCCTTCATAAAAAATCCTAATTTGCTTTTTACTCGAGCATTCTATTATTTCCACATCTTCTGTTTTTCTTATTCTTTGCATTCTGTTTATTCTGTACAGTAAAGCCTCCGATAACAACGGTTCGACCAACAACTTTTCATATTTAAAACCCTAGTTAATTTAGGACACAATTCAATTGACGTCCTTATTTCATTCGTATTTATGACCAAATTATAATAAAAATATAATAAAATTACATTTTCATATAAATAATAACTAAATCCCGATATTTATTAAAAAAAAAAGTACTGTAAAAAAAATTAAGAGCGCCTTGCGCAAAGAAGCTGCCTTGCTAATGAGTGGTAAACAACAGTCGGAGCTTGGCGGGCCTTTTGTTTACACGCATCTGGAACAGGAACAGGAGAAAAACTTTCTCAGGTTTCTTACAGCATTTTTGCATCCCTATTCAGCATGAGCAAGAGAGCAAGTGACGGTAGTGTTGTTTCAAAACTTAATAGAAAGTGTATAAGCTTAGTCGAGAAACTAGATGTGTTAAAACGATATGAAAAAGGTGAGAGGTCTGTGGATACTGTATTATATGGAGCAAACAGTGAACATATTTTCTGAAGTGGATCCATTAACAGAACAAAGCATTAAAATTTAAATAAATGCAAATGACCTCTACAAAAAGATGTATAATGAGAAAAGAAAGCAGCTGTGCAATGTTCTTTCGACAGCTTTATTATTCGAAGGCCTAAACCATCAACATTAGCTACGCTATCAAATTCACCATCATAAGCAGCTTCAACATCAACTTCAGGTTCAGTAACAGTTTCAGCAACAGCTTTATGGAAAGCTACAGCTTCAGCCAGAGTTGAACCTACAGCTTCAGCCAGAGTTGAACCTGGTGACTTCGTCATCTGAGTAAACACTCGCACAATATTCATTGGCTGTCCTTATGTTTTAGACTTTACCACCATTGGTAAGTAGAATTTTTGCTTTACATTCGTAAATATTATTTAAAACATATATGAACAGAAATTAAGTGTTGCTTTCATATTCATATGCAGAGAAATGACGATATGTTTTCACTTGTACGCACTTACTGATCATACGTTGGTGTTCCCAATCGTCTCGCTTTATTTCTTTACCATTAGTGGTTAGCTTCCTCCAGTGTTCAATTTATTAACATTAAATAACATTTATAAATGCCTTCCGGGCGTTTAAAAGTTGATCAGACTCTTCACGTTAAATTCGAACATTATAATTCGGTCAAACCTGTTGAATACAATTCATTTTAGTATTTCAAATAAATCATACTTAGGCAATCATACATAAATGTTTAATCCAATATATATTTACATAACAATCATAGCTATGTAATTAGTCTAATCTTAACACCTATAATGAGTACTTAATTTGCCATATCTCTGTGTTGTCACAATGATATCTGATGCAATGGACACAGTCTACCTGTGTAAACAATAAGTACAAGTTAAACTTACGTGTTGAAAGTCTCAAGAGAAACAGGTTAGGTGTTGACTATAATGGGGATAGCTACAGTGGCAGTGCCCTGCCCGGCTTCACAAGCCCAGCGCTGGCTGGCCGACTTTGCTGCATAAGCTGTTTATACACAAACAAGCTCCCCTTACTACCACCCAACACCCTTCCTCCTCTGGATCTCTCCATCTCCACCATCTCAATACTCTATATATTGTATACTCATTACTGCTTGCGGTAACAACATTACTTAAAACATACATACAGGTATTCATTTTTTTTAAAATTAAGTTCACTACAGCTACAACCAGGGTCTTATTTTCTTCAGTTTCTTATGTAGAACCATCGTCACTCACGAAAACAATGCTGTCTTGTCTCCCCGTTTGTGTTTTAATATTCTTTGTATTATTAATGAATTGCATTGTTCATTTCACATATATAAACATTACTTCAATCAAATACATATTCAGTAATAAACAATAATGAATCTTTTGTACATATTCTTAGGATAGATGACTGTTTCCTTGAGTGCGCACGTATACATTGGGGTTCGACTATCAGTCTCACTTTTCTTTAATATCAGTGGTTACTTTTACTGTACATTAAATAACATTATTAAAACATACATATTTTTAAGATTAATTTTACTCCAACAGCAACCAGGGTCTGATTTTCTTCAGTTTCAGGTGGAAAACTGACATTATGGGTATAAACACTGACAACAATGCCGTCGCTTATCCTCTTGTGTGTTTTAATATTCTACGTATTATTAATGAATTGTATTGTTCATTTCGCATATATAAAGATTATTCAATCAAATACATATTCAGTAGTAAACACTAATGAATCTTTTGTACATTTCTTAAAAAATATATGACACGGTATCCTTAAATGCTCACGTATATGTTAGCGTTTCCAATCCATCTCTTTTTTTTTTCTTTGCCATTAGTGGTTAGCTACTTCTATTGTTCCATTTATTAACATTAAATAACATTAGTTAAAACATATATATTCATTTTTTTACATTAATTTTACTACAGCTACAACCAGGGTCTTATTTTCTTCATTTTCTCGTGTAGAACTATCGTCCCGGACTCCCGGCTGTAAACACAAACGAAAACAATGGAGTCCCATCTCTTGTGTGACCTTATTATTATTCATTTATATTGTATATGGTGCATTTAGAAACATTAATTCAAGAATATAGTTTGCAATTTTCATTAATTGTATTGTTTTGGGTGGAAAAGTGTGTAAATGGCCACACAAAAGAGATGAAAAGGTTTATTTTAATGATAATTAATGATTCGCGATAAGACGATTCACCTTACACTGCAATATTGGAGGACACATTAATGTCGTTATTTGAGGCTTTACTGTATATTGCTTTCAAACACATCACTTCTGTCACTTCTAATTTGCTCCTTCCTCTTACATTTGGGGTCAGTGCTTCTCTCCTTTATAATGTCTTTTACTTAATTTCTCAATCCAACAATTATTATCTCTCCTGTCACTATCACTCTGTATCATATAACAGTCCATTTGCTGACACAGAGTGTAATCGTTATTAACTACAAGTCAATCATTCAATTACAGGGTGAGTATGGCTTGGTGAGTGGCCCATATGATCTACTGGTGAACAACAGTGCCCAGGATATATGTATTCACCTGCACACCCTTGAAGCAGTGGCTTACTCACTCCTGGTTCCCCTTCCTATCCTCAAGAATTATCTACGCTTGGTAAGGATTTCAAAATTTGCTTCTTAATGTGTTTTGGTAATTAGTATAGCCTTAATTATAATTAGTAGATGTCTCCTTGTGGATAAAGCATTATTGTTTTAGCCCTTTTCACTTGCAAAGCTCTTATCCTACTTGATGCAGTGTGCAAAAGGTATTCACAAACCCCCACCATTAAAACAGGCATTATTATTAACTCCCATTGCACAGATCTATCTGGAGAATGTAGTACAGTATAGTATTCTCACTTCTACTTCATACAAAACTTTTTAATCATCAGGGATTTGTTCTGTCATATTATTTATAGATAGTCTTCAGAGGTTTGTTTTGATTTGATTTGGCAAGTACAGTTTCATGCAGTATATAATGCTGTCGAGCTTATTGTTGAATTTTTAACATTCATGTTGGCGCTTTTTGTAATGCTTCAGGTAGTTTCAAGAACATGTTTATCTACCCACATGATTACTGTATTAATATTATTTTTTTCAGATTGAGCAGTCACAGTGTGTGGTAGTATATGGGCCTCAGGACAGTGGAAAGCGTTCCCTTGTGAGATGTCTTGCCCACCTTAAAGGTGGTGGTGTCATTGGTATGACCAGAATAGATATGGGTGGTGGAAGGACGTTTAGTTTGGAGTCTGTCCGAAGCATTGTGGAAAGTGGGGGAGGTCTTGTTGTGATGGAGCGTGTTTCAAGAGAAGCTTGGCCAGGAGTATGGGCCATGGTTCAAGGAGTCAGCAGTGGAACAGTTCTAGTGACTATGGATGCCTGGAGACGGCCAGGCGGAGGGCAGCTTGAAGGTGGAGTGCTATGGGTACAACTGCGCCATGACAAAGAACCCTTGGTCTCAACCCTGACCCGCTCTCTTACACGACATATAGCCTCACTATACGCCGGAGTCTTCCCATCACCCAATTCTCAGACACAGCTTGTTATTGACTGGGTAACTGGAGCATGGGGACGCCTGACTGCTACACTCATGGCTTTAGGTTTCTCATCTGCTCTTCATGGCCCTCATATGTTTACACAGACTCTACTGGCAGCCAATAATCCCAGAGATATCTTGAGGTATGTGTATCAGATTAAGATTGTGCCAGTAACACTTGAGATAATATATTTTTGGGGTTATGTAAAGCTTTTTATATACCTATTATTCAGAATGGCATCTCAGTAACAGATAAAATAATAAAGGGTCTTGGTGAATAACTTCTTTCCTGAGGGCTTCAGACATGTGTGCTGGGCGTCCTGAATAAAGTGTCTGTATATTTTATTAGTGCTGCTAGTCTTATCCGCAGTAGGATGCTTGTGTAAATTTTTCCTCAGATACTTAATTTATCATCATCTCCATACCACTAGGTATAAAAGACCCAACAGCAATAAGTCATCATTAGAATTTTTAAAGATTCCTGCAAAATAGGTAATGTAATTTGATGCACTCTTTACTTCATGCCATACAAAATACATTTATACATTTGATAAAATAATTTAAGTAGATTCACGAAGACCACGTTTTAAAGTGTTTAATATGTTGTTTAATCTCTTAATTAAAGTTTGGGTTTGTATTTTAGGTCACAATTTTTGCTAACCTTTGACCCTTTACTTTAAGTCATATCATAAAAATTTGTCAACCACTTGACATAGGCTGATGGGACATGGTATTGTGCTGGTTTAATTACCTTTTAGTAATTCAAATGTTTCTTGATTAGTTATTTAATCTTTAATATTCTTATTATAATTAATGTTTATACTGGTTTATTATTGTTATTATTATTATTATTTTATATATATATATATATATATATATATATATATATATATATATATATATATATATATATATATATATATATATATATATATATATATATATATATATATATATATATATCTTGATAAAATCCACGTTTTCATTGTGGATTTACATGAAATATATATATATATATATATATATATATACATATATATATATACACACAGACACACACAGTGGTCCCTCGGTTAACGAACGGTTCGATTAATGAAATTTCGGTTAACGAATTATTTGCCATAAAGATCTTTAATTCGGTTAATGACCTTAAACTTCGATTAACGAAATCCTTACGAACAACACGTATTGTTGTGAGCATCAGCTGATGGGCTAGTCTGCCAATTCAGTAATCGGTTCTATGTTTACATTCGTTTCCAGTGGAGTAAATATCAAGAAAGTTGTGCTCTTTAATATTTTTGCTTTTTTTATATTAAGATTATTAGTCATTTTAAAATTTAGTTAACATATTGATAATATATGTAGCACAGGGAACTAACTTTTTGTGCTCCCATCATCCGCTTGACTCAGCCACCAGGCGTCAGCTTGGCTTTGTTGACAGTGGAGTGCCATCTATTTTGTTGGTGTCTTGAATATTTTTGCATTTTTACATTAAAATTATTGGTCATTCTGAAATTTAGTTAACATATTAATAATATATAGCACAGTGCAGTGTTGATTTAAATAAAATAATCTTGAATTACACCTAGTGAACTTAAAATTATATTGGTGAAATGACGGCATCAAGCATGGGTCCCCTGTAAGGTGAATTCTCCTCCATCCCCACTTCCTTCTCTTCTCCCTTCTCCTCCACCCCCACTTCTAATTCCCATCATCATCAACCAGGAACCTTTACATACACACCTCAAAGTAAGTTTCCTTTACTGAATTTTTTTTTTTTTTTTTACTTTGTATGTACTTTTCGGTGAGCTGGAACCAATTACCCAATATCCCATTGAAACAATGGATTCAGTTAACGAACGAGACTGTGGAACGAATTGTGTTCGTTAACCGAGGGACCACTGTGTGTGTGTCTATACAATATAAATATATAATATATATATATATATATATATATATATATATATCTATATCTATATCTATATCTATATATATATATATTATATATATATATATATATATATATATATATATATATATATATATATATATATATATATATATATATATATATATATATATATATATATATACACACACACACAGTAGTACCCCAATTTACGCGGTCAATTGAACCCACAGGGTACCGCGGAAAGTGAAAACCGCGTAAAGTGAACAACAGAACATATGGGATTAATTCCAATAGAGACTGGCCCGACCCCCAAACTCCACTTTTTCCGACACAATACCTATGTTGTAGTAAAAATAACATCTAAATTTTATGATGGTATGCTCACACAATTAATATTTAAGAGAAATACAGTCGCCAGGTTAATGTCCATTCAAATAATGGACTCAAATCCCCCCCCCCCCTCTTCCCAGCTCACTGGCCCCTACCTCTCTGAGAAATGATTGGGTGAAACACTAGATTTTAACATTTAGTAATAAATAATACCTCAGACTAAAGTTAGGATAATATAATTGACATTTCTGGATTCCTTGCAGGTCAGGGAATATTTTGAATGTAAACTTCATATATTTTGCACAAAAGATAAAATACTTGCTTTATGTAAACCAAATTATTACATTAGATCTAAAATTTGTATGTCTAATGCAAATTCCATGATGTTTATATTCAAAATGATCATCATATTGTAAGAATTCCAGCAATGTAAATTATATTCTGGCCGGGTAATTTGTATGAATTTTATGAGCTAAATAAAAAAAATAGAAATATATACTTCACGCGTATATGAGTAGATGCACCGCGGAAAGTGAAAGTGGTTCTGGCAAGGTACCACGTAAATCGCGGAAAGTGAAACCGTGTAAAGCGGGGTAATACTGTATATATGATAATTATAATTATTCATGGGAAATAAAATTTATATTAAAAATACAAAATTAAATAATAATTCATAGTAAAAAAAATAAATAAAAATACATTAAAAATAGTATTGATGATAATAATAATAACAACAACAACACTGTAATAATAATAATAATAATAAAGAACCATAAAGAAAAAAATATAATATAAAAAGTGAGAAACGATATATGTATGGTGTGTTGTCAAAGTAAGAGAAACAATATTGAGACCCTGCAATTGTGTGTAAATGAGGCAGAATGTCAGATTGTCATCATAAGTCTATAAATCTGTTTTGTGTAGGCTTATAAATTTTTTCCTTAATACAATTCATATCAGTAATTTAGAGAGACTTTTTCAGGATTAGAACAGAAAAAGATACAGTACATGAAAAATCTGTGATTATTTATCCAGAACTGTCACATAAATGGAATCCTTTTATTTATTTGATTCATTGATTGAGGGACATATGCTATACTGTACTTACTTACACCACTGAGTTTGGAAATTTTTATCTTGAATATTAAATGTTTATTGTCTTGTGTAAAAATGTATTGTGTGATTATAATGATAATTCCAGTTCTAAATGAAGCAATTTATTTCCAGAGGAGTGCAACACCTGTGGAATAATGTGATAAGCGCAGAAATTCGTTCGGAGGTGGTCACTGTTTGGAGGAAGTCCAGTGTTGGAGGGGAAGTAGACGAGGCCAGGGTTACTAGCATGGCTTTGTATGTAGTTATTCAACGCAGTCTTGCACCAGGCTTACCCCTACCCACTCCAGAAGCACATGATTTCTTGGCAGCTTTAGATGGTGGTCTGGGCAGATCTGCTTTCCGAGGTATAAAACCAACTCTTCCATCGTCTCGACCAAAAGACTTACCATTAGAAGTGCTAGGTAACAACCCTTGGAAAGGTACATCATATGAGAGAACAGGCAGCCAGCAGGCTTGTCCCTCTGTGGGCATGGCATCACCCACATCACCAGAGTGGGATGAAGCTAATCTAACAAAGATTTTGGGTCTCTCACCTATGGGATATGCGTAACCTCGGCATCTCATCTCTCAACTTACCTCGTAGTATTGTAGTGACTGTGTGATTGGAGACCCTTGAAGTTCTCTTCCCTTTACCAAACTTCTTCCATAAAGCCACCTGAAATTTACTCTTCAGAATGGAAGTTCTCTTAAGACTGTTCATGGATCTACTGTAGTGAAAGCTGATGCCCTAAAGCCACCTTGTACGATCTCAACTTGACGAAATTTTAATCTACTGCTGTAAGGAATACAAAACCCTTGGATCACTCATTACTCTGAAATCTACATTGTTGTTTCATGTGGTTGAGTTGTGTTTGGCATTTTTGCTCAACTCTGCCTACTGTATAGGTGCTACGTGTGATTGTTGCAGTTGAAAAGTATAAAGAAATAGTTTTCTTGAGTGTGGAGGCATATGGCAAGTGTATTAACAGTCTTGTGTGAATGCCTCCCTTTATCACTAATCTAGCAGTGGCCATCCTCATCTTTATTCACTAGCATATTGGAGCAGCTTGATGTGATACATGCATTTGTTCTTCCAGTGGTTTGAACTATTTTTGTTTCTTAATGCAGAGCTTTTTTGTACTTATGGAGTGATGAACAATCAGACACATGCACAGGTAGAGGAGGATCACAGATCATAGCTTTAATATTAATTATCAAGATTATAAACTCACTTGTTCCCAGTAATGTTCTCCCATGATGAGATTGAGGAATCTTGAACCTTGGGCAGCTGTCCTAGTGATGCAAATTGAAATATCCTTGATACAACAAGATGTCCAATGCAAGGCTCACACACATTAGTTGAGCAAATAGAAAAAGGACACCAAAGGGATTCCAATTCCTGATCAGCTTATGAGAAATAAAGTTCAGGTTTTGTGATATGATGACCTAGAGCCAATAACATAGCTCAGTACCTCACTAATAGCACTTTTTATATGGATCTTCCACTGCAAAAGATCATTTCAATATTCCTGACAGACATATATGAAAGTTTGCAATATATTGAGCTAATTACATGTTGAGGAAATATGAAGTGTATTTATGCACAATATTAAGATTTCTGTTTGAGGTCTTAACCATTATGATGAATCAATAAGGCAATATTCAATATGTCTCCCAGGTCCTCTGTAGGGGTATCCAAAGAAACTATTGTTTTTGTGTCATTCTATAGTCATGTGATATACTCGTTGTGGTGAGTTGTCTCGTGGCGTTAAGTAATAGGTAATGACTGTGTGATATTGTTTGCAAGCAATTACATGATACTTAAACAAATGTTTAAAGTAGGAATGAACACATAGGTCTCGTAGATTGTGGGGATACACATACACCTCCAAAAGTGGAACATGTTTAGCATAACATTTGTTTAGACACCTGTTACATGATCTCACATCCTGTAAAGACGTAGCATATCTGTATTTCTGCCAAGATCCAGGGACACTCGGTTTTATAGAGTTCCACTTATTAACAGGAATGCATAAATGCATTTTGATATTTTGTAAATGAGAAAAAATTGCACAGCAGGTACATCTTGGTGATAAGAGAGCACATGTACAAAAGATGATAATTCATTGGCTTGATAAATCAATCTCATAATGCAAATGGTAGATTGATTAAACAAGAAGTAGCATTAGTAGCTGTTTTAATCAATCATATGCTGTAGTCAAGGATTCTGGCCTTGCATGTAGTAGGTAAATGTCATAAAATTTTCTGTTTTCAAATTTGGACCTTAGTTTTTGTCTATTTCAACCTAGACTTGCTTAGAAGTATGTGTCATGCTCAATCTTTTTTGCATAGATAATTTTTAAGACTGAGCTCCATTGGGTTTCACAGTATGAGTTGTGGTATATTCAATTGATAGGTTGATGTTATGCAAGGACCTGATATCTAATAATCATAATATTATTTATGTGGCATTAAACACTTGAGTGTAATGGAAGTATATTCCAAGATGGATATCTTATCATTTGATCACTGATATTAGAAGCATCCAGTGGGTGTGTTTTGTAAGCTCAGCAAATCAGTGGATAATGGGTGCCTTTGATCAGATGAAGAACTGGCCATCTTAACAAGCTGTTTTTAAAACTTGTTAGAAAAGTTCTCTTGTACTTCTCATATCTCCCAATACTGTAAGTTACAAAATATTAATGGGGCATTACGCACTTCAGCTAGTTCACAGTTGTCCTTCCCTAAGTGATAAAGTCTGAAATTTTTTCCCATTATGAACTTGTATCTGGAGGTTAGTCTCATATTTATGCAGTATATAAATATTAGGGGGTGAATGCCTGGAATTACCAGGTAATGAGAAACATCCTTGTTTTGTTGAATTTATACCAGTGATAGTTAACCTATTAAAATTACCCTTGATAGAATTGTTCCTTGATGAAACTTTTTATTCTTAATTTGGTATATGTTAGCTAGAATCATTTTGTGTTTTTGTATGGTTCACTTTTAATGACCTTCGTGAAGTAATTGAGCCTCTAATTATCTGCGGTTTTGTTCACATACTATTATAGTAAAGCATATTATCTCGGCAGAATTATTAATATACTTGTACACAGTTCATTGTTCCATATCAGAAAATCAAATGAGACAGGCACTGGCAAAGTTTATGTTTAGTGTGTAGGCTTTGTGAGGATTATGGAAAATGTTGTCCTTTCTAAAACTTCTCGTAAGGTACCTGCAATCATTTGTCTTTTGGTATTGTGAGGCATCATGGTAACTTGGCAAGTGAACAATTAGCAGATCAAGTAGGAAATGATAACATTACAGTGATAACTCAGGCCTTCTCATATGTAAGGGTGGAAATCAGTATCTGACACGAAATGGTACCTACTGTAGAATGATTATTAGATTTAACAAATACAGCCTCCAATTTCTTTGTTGAAACCAAAGTGCAGTGTCATAAGAACACATTGTTTAAAATCATTGATTTTGAAATTCTTGCCTTTAGAATATTGTATTGAAGAAAAGAGAGCAGCTTATGATGTTTCCAATTTTCTTTATGCTTTCTTTTTTCCATGATGCAGTATACTGTGTTTAATGTTCATATTACAGCTGTACCTTGATTTCTCAAACATGATTAACCACAATCATTATTTATCAGAAGACAATTCTTATGATTAGTGTTTACTGCATTGTTTATAATGTATATGATTTATGAACGGAAATGTGTACATCAAAAGCAAACACTAACATTGTGGCTAATCTGCTTATGGGTAAATTACTTTTCAAATTATCAAGGTGATAATATAATCAGCAGGTGCCTTCAGTATAGCTATTTACTGGAGTTCCAAATACAATACACACACTCAAGTATTTTACTCGTATTTTTAGCTCTGCAATTATCATATCTCAATGGATATGGTAACAACTACTGTATATGCAAGGGCAGTATCTGTCAGTAGTGATTAGTGATTTTATGTCACCCAAACTTTTTAAGAGACTGGCAAAATTTTTTAGATGTACTGTACTGGATTTTTTTATGTAAAAAGATATGATGTTTAACTTCAGAATTCAGTTGTAATTTTTTTTCTTTACAGTATATCATTGCTATATGGGTTTGTCTACAAGCTCCCCCCCCCCCCTCTCTCCTCTCTCTCTCTGTCTCTCTCTCTCTCTCATTTTTATATTAAGGTTACCCCGTATGTACAGTATATTAGATTATATTAAAATGTGGTAGAGTCAGCAACAGAAGTATGATTGTTGAAGAAATTTTCCCATTTAGTCATCTGTTGTTGTCACACAGTTTGAGACACCGTACTACCTCTTGGAGCTCCCTATTCCTTTTTTTTCCTTTTTTTTTCTGTTTCATTAATATCAGTTTCTGCTTCTTGTTTATGTACTGAGGTAACCTTGATTATTTCTTGAATCCACATTTTTTTATGTGAGAAAGTGCCGACTGCTTCACCTGTTGGACAGCCAAGCCAGTGTGCTGAATACTTAGGCAAATGTGTTTATTGTTGTAGGTGGTAATCGACACAGGTGTGGAGATAGTCCGGAACCGATACTTATGTGTAAGGTTTTCCACGGTGCCATTCTTCTCTAAAATTGGTTAAAGAGTGTATGAGATAGGCAGTTGAGTGGAATGAACTAACCATGGCCCTGGGTTGCCAAGTGACAAACCATGGTCCTAAGTTATCAAGAGGCTAACCACAGCCCTGAATTGCCAAGTGGCCAACCATGGTCCTGGGTTACCAAGTGGCCAGCCATGGTCCTGGGTTACCAAGTGGCCAACCGTGGCCCTGGGATACCCTGTGGTGAATCATGGCCAGGGGTTGAATTATTACACATTTCCTAAAGATTATATTATGAATGTGGATGGGTTGTGTTCGATCAGGTTGGGTGGAACTCAAAGACAAATACTTTTAGTGATCAAGATAACACATATTTTATTTTTTAACACTTGCTGTTACATGCTGTTAATAATCTGTAGTAAAAGAAAGTTTGGCTTGGCTCAGTTTTTGTAACATTTGGAATTTGTAGTAAGCAGCCAGGTTTTTCATTTCATTATTATTGCATGGAGAGGATATATGGAAATATCAGCTAATTCATTCTCCAAAAGATTAGGTGTTCAGAACTCTTTTCACGGAAATAACACATAACTAAGCCTTTCATGTGTATCTCAACAGAAAGTAGGTTATGAATGTGAGTTTGGTTCAATTAACAGAAGCTGTAGTGAAGGTCTCATAACCAGGCAAGATGGTCCCAAGGAAGAGGTGTTGCCATCAACTAGGTTTATTATATGTTAATGTTGCACATGAATATGATGGAATTTTTCTAATATTGGTAGAAATGTGAAGCCTCATAATCTTTATTAAACTTCTCAATCAGATCAAAGTTAGTACTGTATGCATCATTTTTGTGATACTTGTTTCCAGTATGTAATGCCTCACTGTATTGTTTAATCTTGTAGGAGACCTTGAGGTTGTGTTTCTTACTTTGTTATGATTTAGGAAACATTAACAATTAAGTAGAAAGACAAAGTTGAATACTGTATTTACTCTTTGACCATTTAGTTGAAATAGAAATATGGAAGAGATGACTTCCTTGGCACAAATTGGAAAAGTAATTAAGAAATGGCAGTAATGAAGTGAGTGCTGTGAACCAGAACAAGGCAAGACTGACCAAGTCAGCTATTGATGTATTTAGTGAGGCATGTGTGAAACTTGAATGGACTTAGTGCGGGACTAAATGCCTGAAGCTGTCGTCATCAAAAGAATCTCTTCTTGATTGTATATGTATGTACAGACCACTGTGTAAACAAAGGGTATGTATTTTAAAATGTACAATTAATGTATTTAGCTATCATATAAAGTGTACAGTTCTTTTTCTTAATAAAATATAAAGTTGTTAAATCATTTCTTCAGATAAAACTTGTACTCACACTCTCTCTCTCTCTCTGCGTGTGGTTTTTTTTTTTAAGGTTATGGAAGTTGATGAACTTAGCCATATGTAAATGGAGGTTGAGGGAGGGGGGTGAAATAATGGGTATGGTTAAAAAATAATGTCCAAGAACATTAAGCTGTGGTGTGTGGGTACAGTGTAAATGAGGCATAAAGTCAGATTAGCAACCTGGAACTTGGTCACAATTTTTGTGATGTCATATGACAGAAGGGTCTACCAATAGACAATACATTATGCTTCCAATAGCTTCCCAAGCTGTAATACCTCCATGTTTAATAGCTGCCTACTACCTACTTATCTCTGCAAGGGATGACCCACATGGAGCTAAGGCACTCTTTTTTCCTGACTTAATGATCTGAAACAAATAATTAAACACCCTACACTCGACTCTATTCATACTCAATTTCTGCCCCCTTGAGATCTTCTGATCACAATCTTATTTCTATTAAACCAAACTGGACACGACCACCTCCTCCGCCTTTCTCTCGACGCCAATTATGGCACTATCGGATGGTAAACTGCTAATCCTTGTGAGAATTCTTCTCTGACTTTCCTTGGGATGAATGTTACCTTTCCACTCGGGATGCCTCGGTATGTGCTGGCAGCATTGCTGGGGTTATACAAGGTGGTATGAGTGCATTTATTCCATCTTCCTCCAAAACTTTCACTTTACAATCATGGTTTGACTCTCCTGTTCTCTTGCATGTAGGGAGAGATCTAAGGCGTATCTAGTTATGAAACTCTCCTCCTCCTATTACCCACTCCTCTTTCATTACTTTTAGGAATCGTAGAGCCAAGCAGAATTTTAAAAAGAAAGACCGCTGACCCGACTAACTCTTCTCCTAGTAAATCCTTCTAGTACTTAACTAAAAACTTCTGTAATAGCTTCTGTACACCCTCTTTCCTCCCTCCCTTCCGACCTGGTAACTCTATAGCCAACTCTACCCCTAATAAAGCCAATCTCTTTGGCACCTCATTCTCCTCTAATTCCACCTTAGACAATTCCAACTCTATCCCTCCTACTGAACCTATGCACTTTCCTTTAATTTCCACTCGTAGGGTTGCTGGTGTGTTATCCAGGTTGGATGTGAGAAAGGCACATGGACCGGACAGAATACCTTCTCGTGTTTGAGGGAGTGTGCTGAAATTCTAGCCCCTGTGCTTGCGCGCCTCTTTCGCCTTTGCCTCAAAGTATGCCTCGGTTCAGCCCATCCCAAAGAAGGGTGACCATTCCAATCCCTGTAACTATCGCGCCATTTCCGTAACTTCATCTCTCTAATATTTTCGAAACTATCTTAAGCTCTAATTTTCTCTGTCACCCTGGATGCTTTTTTCTTTTGTCAGATCACTAGTATGCTTTTGCCAGGTGAGATCTACTGGTGATCTGCTCTCTTACTGCACCCATCTTTGGTCATCCTCTTTTAAGGATTATAGGGAAACTTTCGTCGTGGCCATCGACATCCTCCAAAACATTTGACAGGATATGGCACAGGTCCCTGCTTTCTAAACTTCCCTCTTATGGTTTCTCTCTCCCACTTTGTTCTCTAATTTCTAGCTTCCTTGAGAACAGATCCATGGCAGGGATCAATCTCTCGCTCTTTACCAACAGTGGTGTCCCACAGGGTTCTGTTCTTTCACCTACTCTCTTATGCTGCTGATTCTAATCTTCACTTCTCTTCACATTTTTCCCTCCCCCCCCCCCTAATTCTCAAACTAGATCTGTTTCTAGAACTTTTATTATTTCATCTATCAATGCGAGCCTATGCAGCATCTCTGAATGGGGAGGTAGAAACGTGGTTAAATTCAATAGTAATAAAACAAGGTATTTACCAATTTCACTTTCCAAATCAGATGATCTCCCACCAATCGCATTTCAGGATGCAATCATTCTGCCAAATTCTAAAATAGCTATGCTAGGCCTTGCCATTTCCTCTAATATGTCATGGAAGCCACACATCCACAACATTGCTAAAGCTGGGAATGTTGTACAGATGCCGTAGCTATTTTACTCCTGAGCAGTTGCTTCAAGTTTATAAGGGATTCATTCGTACTAACTTGGATTACTGCTCTCATATCTAGGATGGCTCTGCTGTCCAATTGTTAGACTGGGTGGAATCAAAGGCATTTTGTCTTATTAACAACTAATTTAGTTGATAATCTTGCTTCCCTTTGTCTTTGCTGCAATGTTGTTTCACTCTTTTTACATGTACTTTGACTGGCAATGTTCGGTGGATTTGGCATCCTGTGTACCTCCGGCCTTGCCGTGGGCTCGTAACACTCGTCTTGCCCACGGTTCCCACCGTTTCTGTGTGGATGTCGGTCACACGAGAATAACCCGTTATAGTACATCCTTTTTTCCTCACACAGCTAAACTGTGGAATGCTCTGCTTTCTTGTGTTTCATACTCATACAATGTCTCACTTCAAAAAGCTGGTTTTCCGGCATCTTCGTGGTGTAGATTAATATAGTAATCTTTTTCTTTTCCGTTTTTAATTTCTTTTTACTCTTGTTTTTTTGCCCCCAGGCCCCGTTGTGGGTCGATGACCTGTGCCCGAGTGGGTTATTCCCCGTAAAAAAAAAGGTAAGATGACTGTACTGTGATTGGCACCTCCATTTTCTAGAATTATACAGTACTTGAAAGATCATCTTTGTTTTGTAGTGGAAATATCATTACGATAATAATGGAAAAATTAACGCCCATAGATCACGAGAGTTACAGAGGAAAAGAAAATTACACAGTACAGTGACTCAAAGAGAAATTTCACGTTACACCTACTGTTTCCAAGGTTCAGAAACCCAAGACGAGTTTTAGTAAAGTTCTCCATTCAGATTCAAACCTCGAAGCTTTGTCACAATACCCAAATTCTTCGTCCTGGGATTCTTTTTGTAAATCGATGGCAATGACTACAGTCACGGAAAACCAGAAAATATGGCGAAGAAAAATTTTACTGCCACATAATGACGTTCGTTACAACAGAGCAATATTGAAAATAGTGATTAAATTCAAGAACATGAAACCATCCAAGGCTCATGACGTTGTAGCGTACTGTATGTGGCACGTTGTCAAGTTATCTTTGTTTGTCTATTTCTCTTTGTATGGGCTCACATACGTACTTACATGTAAGATATCTCACACTCAGGATGGAGGTAAGAATAGAAACTCACAATGCATTTTCTGTATATATATTGTATGTATAGTGCGGTGCTGAGGAGTTGCATAGAGGTTCTGTTGGGTGAGCTTGTTGGAAAGTCTTGCTGGTTCTGGAGAGTAGAGTAGAATGAGCTCCGCAGAACTGAATTGAACAAAGGCTAGTGTCGGGAAGGATAAAGGGCGAATTGAAGTGAATTTGAGGAGAGGAATGGTGCAGTGGCTAAACACCGCTTGCGTTATTTTGGGTTTAAGTTGGAGGCAGCAGCCACCTGTCTGGACTCGGCGAGGAGGTGGCCGGACCCTGAATCAGGTGAGCGTCAGGTCAAATGTCAGGTGCGTGTCCGGTTGGGCAAAGAAATATCTTGGTACGTATTACCCCGCTTAACGCGCTTTCACTTAACGCGTTTTCGCATATACGCGGTGCCTTGCCAAAGCTGAACTTTCACTTAACGCGGATTTTTCCACAGCAACGCGGTGAGTGTCCGGCTCGAGAGCTATTTTTAGATTCGCACCACCCCCCACCCGCCACCCTGCCTGACTGCCTGTTTTAGCTCATAAAATTCATACAAATTACCCAGCCAGAATATAGTTTACATTGCTGGAATTCTTATAATTTGGTGATCATTTTGAATATAAACAACATATTTTTTGCATTAAACATACAATTTTTAGATAAAATGTTTAATCTGAGTAAGTATGTTATCTTTTGTCCAAAATATATGACATTTATATTCAAAATATTCCTGGTCTTACAAGGAATCCAGCAATGTCAATTATATTATCCTAACTTTAGTTTGAGGTATTATTTATTAAAATTTAGTGGTTATCCCACACATCTCCTTGGGACGGTTGGTGGGGGGTGGGGGGGAGGGAGGGACCAACCGACCGACCATCTGTTACCCGGTGAAGAATTATTTTTTTTTAACTGAAGATATTTGTTTTAGCTCATAAAATTCATACAAATTACCCGGTCAGAATATAATTTACATTGCTGGAATTCTTATAATTTGGTGATCATTTTGAATATAAACAACATATTTTTTGCATTAAACATACAATTTTTAGATAAAATGTTTAATCTGAGTAAGTATGTTATCTTTTGTCCAAAATATATGACATTTATATTCAAAATATTCCTGGTTTTACAAGGAATCCAGCAATGTCAATTATATTATCCTAACTTTAATCTGAGGTATTATTTAATACTAAATGTTAAAAACTCTTGAATGGAGGATTGGTGGGGGGTGGGGGGAGGGTTGGGACTGACCGCGCGGTTGGAAGAGGGGGGGAAGGCAAGGTGGGGTACTTTGATTGACAGATAGTGTTGAAGAATATATTTTTTTTTTATTAACTGTAGATATTTGTTTTAGCTCATAAAATTCATACAAATTATCCGGCCAGAATATAATTTACATTGCTGGAATTCTTATAATTTGGTGATCATTTTGAATATAAACAACATATTTTTTGCATTAAACATACAATTTTTAGAGAAAATGTTTAATCTGAGTAAGTATGTTATCTTTTGTGAAAAATATATGACATTTATATTCAAAATATTCCTGGTCTTACAAGGAATCCAGCAATGTCAATTATATTTTCCTAACTTTAGTTTGAGGTTATCCCACACATCTCCTTGGGACGGTTGGTGGGGGGTGGGGGGGGGGAGGGAGGGACCGACCGACCATCTGTTAGCTGGCTGTGTACTGTAGTGTGAGAGGGGGAGGGAGTTGAGTCCATTATTTGAATGGACATTAACTTGGCGACTGTATTTCTCTTAAGTATTAATTGTGTGCATGT